TCTAAACCGTAAGTGCGGATATGCTGTGTGAGTTCGCCAGGTGATACTGTGTGAAGTAGACATCTCCCATGACGTCGTTGCTTTGTGATGTAGACACGCATTATAATACCTTTATTTTGTGAAAAGTATTATTCTCATCAAGACATGGTAAATTTATGAAGTTTTGTGAAAATTGTTTACCGTAAAAGTTGTTCATGCATGAAAACCGTGGATTCACTGGGCCTAAGGCTCACCCAAAACTTTTTTACCCAGCCGGCTTTTGAGTGGAAAGAAAAGTGCAATAAAGAGAGATAAGGATTAGCTCCAAAGAAGGTTATGTGCAGATTAAAGCATTATTATATAGAGCAAAGTTATGTTCCTCAAGATTGTAATTTAGATGGTGATATAATTTGTAAGTTTAGAAATTTTATTTCCGCTGCAATGTAAGTGTTTGATTTTGAGACACTAGTTTTGATATATTTAAGTATTCGAAATTTTGGGATGTTACATATTGTTCATTTGTTTCAAATTTACCATTCATATATATATATATATATATATATATATATATATATATACACTAAAAGGGTACTCGAGCAATACAATGAAATAAATCTCGATTTTGATGTTTAGTTTTTATTTTGTTTTTTTCGATATAATATGATTTCATGTGGTTTTGAGAAAAAGATAATGTTTTTTATTTTTGAATGAAATATAAAATTGAAAAAAATAAATCAACATTAGTATCAAATTAACTATTTAATAGTTCTCGTTGTTTTGGTGTAAGTTTTTTAGTTCGGTTTTTTTTTGTCATAATTTAATTTAGATTTAGTAACAAAGTAATTTTTTTCTTATTTAATAATATATTTTGTTTTATAAATATTATAATTAAAACATTCTGTTAGAACTAAATGATTATCTTAATTATATTTTATATTTTCTACAATTAAAGTGGATGTTTATCTTGTATTTAATTTCGTTCATTTGAAATTAGTTATACAAATTTAAAAATAGAGCTTTAATAAGTTATATTTACGTAAAATTACTTGTAATCTTATACTTACGTAAAATTACTTGTAATCTTAAACTTTAAATAATATGCATCAATATACAGTATTTTATGCATAAAAAATGGTTTTTAAGAGTTTTTATCAAATGTATTATAATATACTATATATATATTAAATTATTTGAATTTAACAGAAATAAAGTAATTTACTCGAATGTAAAACCATAAGTATTTGCTTGGTATTTTCTTTTTATCAATACATACAATTGAAAAGTCACAAAAATTTGATAATTATTTTATGATAAATTGTATCGAAATAAAACTAACTCTGTTTTTTATTTTCATTTTGCAAAATCAACTTTCAAAACCTCCTTTTTGGAAAACTACTCATAAGATCTTATCGTCTAAAGAATTCGACAACTAAATTCATATTCCTCAAAAATAAAAGCAAATGCAACGTTAATTCAATTTTGATTTCTTAACAATCAAGATTTTAAAAGTTGGCTCATCAAAATAGAACAAAGGCGACGTTTACCAAATAATTTCAATGTATTTATCTCAGTGATGTTCAATTACATATTTGTTTTGAAGATAGCTCAAAAAAACAAAAATATGGTGTCGTTTACCGAACGCTTATCGAGGTAAGTGCTTATCAACTCACTTTACTTTACCGGATGAATATGACAAGAACTAAAAATCTTACCCGGTAAGAGTGAATGCAAGAATCGAGAGTCTTACCCGGTAAGTGAGGACGAGGACTCTTACCATGGTTAGCGCTTACCGGGATAAATTGTTGCTTACAATGCGTTTTAGTGAATAAAATATTATCCAGTAAGTAAGCGATAATGTTGAATTTTACCGGTAAGTGCTTATCGGATAAGTGTTTAGGTAAAGCCCCCTATTTGATTTCGATATAATTTTCCCTTATTTTTATTTTATCTATGAGATATATTTTTGTGAATGCTCCTCCTTCAACTCTATAGTTACCATGTGCTATGGTGATCCAAGTTAACAAGACCCTCCTCATGCCACTCTTATTTCATAAGATCGTAACTACCACGATACACGTTATAATATGGTATGATACGTTTATTATTGTTGTCATCAGCAACAGACCCGTCGTAGCATGCTCCACTCCTTCAGTGGTTCTTTAGAAGTCTTATGGGTTATACATCAACAAGCTTGTGATCGAAAACATAGATTGTATGCAATTGGCACATTGTGGTCCATGCCCCAACTTAACGTTTTTCAAAGTTCTAATGGAGTGTTTGGTTCATGGAATTTGGTGGAATTGAAAGGAATTGGAATGTCCAAATCTTTGACCAAATTCCAAATCTCATGTTTGGTTCACATAATAGATGTGAAGGAATCATTCCAATTCCAACCAATTCCATCTAATTCCTTAATTCATTGATTTCACAATTCCACCGCATATACCACGGATTTCAAATTCCAATCCGACAAATTCCTTAGCCCTCATCCATTCATCGACGATGTATCTCGATTTGCTCTGTTCTGCTATGTTCGATCTCCTTTGCTCAATCTCGTTTAAAACTAAGAATGACAACGGGCCAGGTTCGGGCCGGTTATTGGTATCCCCGTCCCAGAAACCGATAATTAAAACCGTCTCCATGACCGCCCTGATCCCCGTCGGGGATCTTATCGGGTCCCGCGGTTTCCCTGATCCCCGTTGGGGAATTCGTGAAGGTAAAAATCCTCTTTTTCCTGTTCACTGTTGATTGTAACCGAACCCGAAACCGAAACCCGAAACAGATCTAAAAATCCCCGTTAAAATCCCCAAATTTAATATATATATATATATATATGTATGTGTGTGTGTGTGTATATATATATATAAATTAAAATTAATATATATGCACATATCAAGTCGGGCCGGGTCGGGCCGATGATCACCGTCCCTGCCCCCGTCCCCCTTAAAATCCACGAATTTGTCCCCGATCCCCGCCCCGTCCCCGAACCCAACCCGAAAGTTTCGGTTTCAGTTTTTTTTGCCTGTAATTTTCTCGTTGAATTCCGTGAACGAAACAAAAAAAATCCAATTCGGTTAAGAATTTCATTCCAATTCCATCCAACCAAACGCAATGAAAAGACATGGTCAAATTCCATCAAATTCCCTCAAAGTCAAATTCATTTGATGAATTCCAATTCCATTGAATTCCATTCTACGAACCAAACGCCCCCTAAGTGTTTCAAACCCTGTTTTAAATCTAGGGTTTACTGTTCTTTTAGAAGTATTACCAACTGTCAATCTTACGTTCTTAATATCGGAAATTGAGGGTGGTCTCTAAAGACATATTTGGCTGTAGCACATTCTCAAGAATCACACCTTGGTTAGTTTATTAACTCTGAAGTCCAACTATTTTTCAATGTTTTAACGTGCCTAATACACTTGAATAGACACTGAGGGGACGTTTACCCAATTGCTTACCTGGTAAACACTTACCGAAATGAGTCAACACTATGATTTATTTTGATGCGTAAGATTTTAGTATATCAAAACATATCGAATGCAACAATTTAGTGAGTAAGCGCTTACCTGATTAAGAGTCGCCATCCTCACTTACCGGGTAAGACTCTCCATCATTCTCATCACTTTTACCCGGTAAGATTCTTGACCCTTCTCATATTCACTCGATGAGGAAATTTATCCGGTAAATACTTACCAAATAAGTGTTTAATAAATAGCCCCTAAACTTAAAAAAATTCAATATCTAAGCATCGACAAATATAGCAAGGAGTAATAGAACATAGTACCCCTTATGATCCCATTCCACTTGTCATCTCATCTATTTCATTTATTGAAGTATGGTCCACATCTCAAAATCAAAGCTCGACCCCTTTTATTATCGTAAAGCCACTTGTATATGTCAAACTCATAATGCAAAATTCAATCATAATAACAGCTATCATTTTATCATAAAAGACGTAACACCTGATTAAAAAAAATTATGAGAATCATAAAATATAAATTCACATTTCAACAAAACTTATTGTTAGAAGAACAAATTATGAATGCTTACAGATTACTTATGTATCTACATATTAATTGAATATATACTGTATAGATGAATGGTTACTAAGATGTTCTTTCAGTTTTTTATTTTTTTACAATTTTTTTAAACCTAATCTTAGAGCATCCACAATCCATAAGCCATTCAATGGCTTTTTATTTTTGCCACACCATATTTTCATCAATTTTATCTAATAAAAACTCAGATTTAAGGGGTTGTTTATTTACCTCTTAATAGTTCCATTAAGAGACAACATCTATGAAGATCTTGATTAGCCATGTTTGGAAGATTAGATGTCAAGATACAAGAAGCATGTACGTTTGAAATTTTTGATCTATGTATTATACATTATAGACTCTTGTATTATGGACCTATGTGGGAAAATTTGTATTCTATATATAAAATATGTGTTATATGCAATATATGGTTTGGGGGTGTTACAACATCTGAATCTTGTTTGTCAAAAAAAAAAAAATCTGTCTCTTAATGGTTGGAAAACCCTCTGAATGATTTTATATCATGAATCTCTCTTAACCATTACGAGTCTTAATTTCATTGTACACAATTACCAAACAATTATATTTCATTTTGCACTATATCATGAAGGCCTCTTAATCATTCTGACCACTTAATCATTATGCACCAAATCATTCAGCAATTATCAAACAGTATAAACACCGTTACAACAACCTGAAAGTGATTTTGTAACCTTAAATAAAATTTTAATTAAATTCATTAAATCAAAACGTATTATGATTTAAAATCACATTTAAAGTATATACCGGTTTGGGTCAACTTTCCAAGAAAAGGGGTAGCATCTTCTTGCTACGAAAGCACAAAAAGCTTCACCTAAAACTCACTTGTAACCCCCACCATGATGAACCTTCTCTCTATATATCATCACTTTCATTATTGTCTTCATCCTACATTTTTCTCCCTAATCCTAATTTCGTATGAGAACTTATGATTCTATATATGAAACCATCAACAACGATCTTCAGTAACACCAGATTACGTTTTCGTGTTGTTTGAACGAATTTGATGATGAATTCGACAATGGCGGCTAGGCAAGGAGGAGTCAAATCGAGGAAATCGAGCTTAAATTATGCGAATTCGCCTTCTGCGACAACTTTGTCTTCTAAACATAATCCAGAAGCTTCAGTTGATAGTCCGAGCTCTCCGGATTCTTCAGCTAGAAATAAGCAACAGCAGTTTTTATACAAGAGTTTGGCGTTGGATTCTGAGATGTTGAAAGAGAATGTTACAGTTACCGTCCGGTTTCGGCCTCTCAGGTGATCAAATTTTGGCAATTCTTTTGTAATATTATATGCGTGTGTTTATTTGTCATATATATGTCAATATGTGTATGTATATACGGACATCTACACATCTGTATGTAAGTACGTGTGTGCGTACACATACACACACACACATATATACGGTATTTGTATCACTTTGTGCCTAATTTGTATTTATATGAATTGATTTGTTGTGGAATAGTCCGAGGGAAATACGACAAGGGGAAGAGATTGCATGGTATCCCGATGGAGAAACTGTCGTGCGGAATGAGCATACTCCCTCAATAGCTTATGCGTATGGTATGATACATTATTGTGAATTTGTTATGCTTATTTATTAAATTCGTATTGTTGAATTTATTATTGCGATGTTTGGGATCATCAAGTCATGCTCTAGAATTGGAAGTTGAGAACAGTTAGGTTTAAAAGATAACCAACTTAAACCTTATTTCATATCTAGAATTTCTAGACCTTGAACGCCATGCTGCCATACACTGTTCTAGTTTTCTTGATAATTAATATAATTGAATTAGAGAACGGAACGTCTGGTTAAATACCAAGTAGCAAAGACCATGGGAGCACTGCAATGGTGAAATAGAGCAATCAGAGCACTCAATCAACTGATCTATTAAGTTACTAACTCAGAATCTGATATTGATCCTCTCAAGTTTAGCCAAAGAATCTACAAGATTGGGGTTAATTAAATGAACCTCACACACTAGTACCTAAGCAATTATTTTGGTGGCTGTAGCAGACTTCCCTCTTTTACAAAAGCAGTAGCTGTGAGAAAGTGAAGTAAGCTGACTTCTTGCTTACTTGGTAACCTTTTAGGAGAGTAATAGATACAGAAGAGTTTGAACTTCACCCAAAAGTGTATCGTGCATCCCTGTGGGTGCCATGCCTTCTTTATGTGTATCCATTCTTGGAAGCTTTTGTAAGAAATTAAGCAACTAGCTTTACTCGTGTTTCTTCATTGCGATCATGGTTAATAAAGTCAAGCTTTTGTAACATCAGGTCTTTTCTATGTATAGCAGACGAAATATAAATACTCTGCCATCATAGATGAAGTTGTCGTCAATTGCTGCTTATGACTCCTCCACGAAATAGGCCCACCTGACAGCATGAAAATATATCCTGAAGTCGACTTTTTATCATCTTTGCATTTTGCAAAGTCAGAGTCGGAAAATCCAACGACTTCTAGATCATTCGTTCTTTTAAAAGTTAGTTTGTAATCTTTAGTCCCTCGAAGATATTGCAACACCTTCTTAGCGGCTTTCCAATGATCTAGGCCTGGATTAGATTGATACCTACCTAGAATACCAACTATATAAGCGATGTCGGGACGTGTACAAACTTGAGCATACATCAAGCTTCCGACTACAGAAGCATAAGGTATTAACCTCATTTGTTCCTTTTCTACCTCTGTTTTTGGACATTGAAAAGAGCTGAAAACATCTCCCTTAACTACAGGAGCAACTGAGGGAGAGCAATGTTGCATATTGTATCGATCAAGTACACGCTCAATGTACCCCTTTTGGGACAATCCCAATGTCCCCATGGTACGGTCTCGGTGGATCTCTATTCCAATGACATAAGAGGCTTCTCCGAGATCTTTCATGTCAAATTGACGTGAAAGAAAGCGTTTTGATTCATGCAACAAATCAATATTATTACTTGCCAATAGAATGTCATCGACATAAAGGACAAGTATAGCAAAGTTCCTCCCACTCATCTTGAGGTATATACATTGATCCACTTGATTCTTAATGAAGCCATTTTTCTTCATGACTTCATCAAATTTTAAGTACCATTGACGGGATGCCTGTTTAAGCCCATATATTGACTTTTTCAGTTTACAAACAAGATGTTCTTGACCCTTAATCTTAAACCCTTCAGGTTGGGCCATATAAACATTTTCATGTAAATCTCCATTAAGAAAAGCGGTCTTAACGTCCATTTGATGTAACTCTAAGTCAAAATGAGCTACGAGGGCCATCACGATCCGTAAGGAATCTTTTCTTGAAACAGGAGAAAATGTTTCCTGATAATCTATACCTTCCTTTTGAGTATATCCTTTAGCAACCAATCGGGCTTTATAACGTTCGATGTTTCCTTTTGGGTCAAGTTTAGTCTTGAAGACCCACTTGCATCCTACGGATTTCGCACCCTTTGGTAATTCAGCAAGTTCCCATACATCGTTTTTACTCATAGAATCAAGTTCATCAATCATAGCTTCATTCCAATGAGAAGATTGTTTGCTATTTATTGCATCATTATAGGATATAGGATCGTTACATTTTCCTAAGCTATTTATTGCATCATTATAGGATATAGGATCGTTACATTTTCCTAAGTCAAGATCGACCTCATTTAAGTAGGTAATATAATCGTCAAAACCGGTGGGTCGCCTAGTTCTTTGTGATCTCCTTAAAGGCTGGTGAGTTTCTTGAGGCTCAATATTAATTTCTCGAGTATTCTCAATGTGTGGAATTTCAACATTTGTCTCTAAGTTTGTTTCACTTTCATTATGAGACATAGGTTGAACATTGGAGTCTTCAAGTGGTGTATTTATCGAAACAGGCACATGTATTATTGGTGTTTCTTCACGAACCTCTTGAAGACCTATACCACAATTTTCAATACTATCATCATTTTCACAATTCTCAAGAAATACGGCATGTCCGTGTTTCTACTATCTGAGTAGTATGTGAAGGACAATAGAATCTGTATCCCTTTGATCGTTCGGGATAACCAATGAAGAAGCAACTTATGGTCTTCATATCAAGTTTTCTTAATAGAGGATTGTACACTTTAGCTTCTGCCGGACAACCCCACACCCTTAGATACCTTAAGCTTGGTTTCCTCCCTGCCCATATTTCAAAAGGAATTTTAGGAACAACTTTAGAAGGAACTCTATTTAGGATGTGAACCGCCGTTTTTAATGCCTCAGTCCATAAAAATTGAGGTAGGTTAGTGTTTGCCAACATACTTCGTACCATGTCCATAAGTGTTCTATATCTCCTCTCAGCCACTCCGTTTTGCTGAGGTGTGCCTTAAAATTGAAAAACCCGATGTTGCTCATGTCACCACTGTAACTCCATCTAAGAGGAAGGGTAAAAGCCTAGAAGGGGAAAGTTCTAAAGTCCGAAAAACAGGTGCAAGTACAAGCTCAGGTGTGAGTAAATTTA